AAATTAACGCACCACTAACGCACTACACAGGCTTCGTCTACTTCGCCTCCTGGACCTACTTCACCTCGACCTACTTCCCCTGGCTCCCGAACGCAGGCCAATGCGCAGGCGAGGAGTTCGCGGCCATCGCTGGGATCTGCATCCTGAGCTCCTACCTCGTCCTGTTTATTGGCTTCTACCTCGCGACGTACAAGAAGCCGGTCAAGAAGGGCAGGAGCCGCTCCAGGAGCGCGCTGATTGAGATGAAGGATGAGAGGGTCCCGACGGTTGGCGAGGCGAGGCGTAGATTCAGCCAGGGGCACGAGGCGAGGCCGAATGGGTTTGCGACGAGCTCGGAGAAGAGCGCGGATGGGCAGCTGCCGCGGTCTAGGAAGGCGTAGGTCGTACAACGCGTCTTTGTCACTGATCGCTCGAGTGTTCTGCGATAGCGAACTAGAGTCGTAAGAGAGGTGCAGCTTCGCGGCATTGGCTAGAGGACCTCCTATATACCTCCCGAGCCGGCTGCCTTGGCCAGGAGTTGTATCGATCATGCTTGTAGATGTTCTAGAAGAGATGGTATGGGCTGGGTACAGGCGAGGCAGCGTACCACTGTATCCCTATGTAGCCATAGTCGGGCGTTTGTGGCGGGTTAACGACGTGTTTAGATGTGTACCATAGTCTCGCATCGGCGCATGGAGAGTATCTAATGCATATTCATGATCAACGCAGCAAGTGTGCTCGACGTACAGACACAAGACAAAGTACCGATACGATATTTCCATTGCGCAACTGTCCTGTTAAGCGGCATAACTTGAGCTCAATGGCAGATCACGTGCCCAACCCCTACGCAACGATCGAACCACTGACCGTTCCTGCCGAGAAAACAGAAGCACCTTCCAACCAAACTCCACCACAGCTCCGCCTACCACCACCGCAATCCCGCCCACACGCCGGCACCCTCAATCGTCAACCCTTCCTCATGCTTTCCGCGAGCATCCTCCGCGCCGCCGTGCGCACCTCCCGCCCGGCGCTCTACAGACCAGCGCTCGCGGCTCGATGTGTGGCTCCCGTGTCGCGGTCTGCCTTCAGCACTACCGCTAGACGGGCGGACGAGCATGCTGAGGAGAGCTTTGAGGAGTTTACTGCTAGGTAAGGGGGTTTGAAGGCTTGGAGGAGGGGAGGGGAGCTTCAATGGCGAGGGGAATGGGGGGCCGGAGCTCCGAGGACGAGCTTGGGAAGCTGGGTGTGAAAGGCTTTGGGGGGCAATTGGGCTAACTAGTGAAATGGGGGGTAGATATGAGAAGGAGTTTGAGGCTGTGCAGGATGTGTTTGAGCTCCAGGTATGCTTTTCTGTGCTTGCGACACTCTCCCCCATCCCATCCCGACCACGACTTGCACGCGTCAACCCTGTAAGCTAATGTTGGGTCTCAATCACAGCGCAACCTCAACAACGCCTTCGCCTACGATCTCGTCCCGTCCCCGTCCGTCATCGTCGCTGCGCTGAAGGCGGCTAGGAGAGTCAACGACTACCCGACCGCTGTGCGGATCTTTGAGGGTGCGTATATCTCGCGCCCTTCCCACCACCCACACCCAGTTTCCAGCCCCCCATTACCATGGCACGCGAAACACTGTAGAATAACAGTCCAAGCTGACGCACAAACTCGATACAGGCATCAAAGCAAAGGTGGAAAACAAGGGCCAGTATGACGAGTACCTCAAGGAGCTGGAGCCGCTAAGGGAAGAGCTGGGCATAAACCTCAAGGAGTCGATGTACCCGGATCCTACTCGTTAGACGTTGATGGGGAGCGTAAGGGAGGGACTGGCGGAGAGGGAAGACAGCGGGAAGAGCAGATGTATCATCACCAATGAAGTTCTCGACCGTTGATGAGGCGGGGGCTTGTAGATGTTGTGTTCGAGGCACATGTACAGCTTCATTTCAATCGCTGCATTCGTGGGGATTGCGCTGAAGTGATTCATGTTGTTTGCGTGCCGTGCATGACTGAGATGCGTTTCTTTGCCCTCGCGCTCTCATATCTAACCCCTAGCGTGGACTAATCTACAATACCACTCGACCCTTCGAGAAGCGATTTCCGGGCCCCGTAGCCTTCTACCGGTATCCTTGCAGCTCTCACGAGTCCGGCCTTTACATTTCGTCTGAAACGATATGTGTGTTCATATGAATAGTATTACAGAAAGGATCCGGGCATACTTCAAGTCCCAGTCCAGCGAGTATGTACAATACATGACGTCCTCATCATCCAACACATACGCCTATTTATACACAACTCTTGCGACCCAAAACCCTGCTCCGCCTTCCTCTCTCCCGCTGACTCCTAACGCCGGCTACTGCTTGATCTGAGTAGCACCTCAGCAGCAGAAACCACCAATGCAGATAATACAACAGCCCTTCTCTAATTACACAAGCGAGTAATCAGCTTTCCGCGTAGCAACAGCTTCATCCCGTCCCCACGAACTTGAACCAATTCGGCCTGCAGTCTTCTCTATTCAGCCACGCCTCTCCATCCGTGAAGCGGCCAGTGACGCAGCCCTTGCATTTCGGACTATTCGGACAGTTGAAGAAGGGGATGTGCTGGTATCCGATATCGCGGAACCTATGTTCGGCGAATATGTCAGCAAAGAACTGTGCAGTTGTCTTACATCTCGACCCTAAGAGAGGGTTCATCCTACCAATGGATCCGCTCCTTATCCTCAAACAGTCCCAACGCAATACTATGCACGGGCGCATCGCCCCACCTCTCATAAAAGAACCCGCCCGCGCGATCCAAATGCTTGAAATACTCCTCATACGGCCTGCTGCGCCAAAACTCCATATCGGCAATCTCGAAATTACTCCAGAAGTGGCACGTGCTGTACCCGTTCGCCTTCATGTTATGATCCGGCCGCCTCGTCGCATCTCGCAGCCAATCAAACGCGTTATTCTTGTGCAGGTACTCCGGATGGTCGCCTAGGAACTTCATCGTCTCGGGCCATAGTGTCGTGATAGATTGGGGCGAGTCGTACAGGTTGATGGTGAAGCCGTAGGTTTTATTGTGGTCCTGCATGTAGCGGAAGACGTCGTAGTCGACGGCGCAGAAGAAGTGCACTTTGGGCTCCACGCGCCAGTAGTAGCGGTAGTTGGCGAGGGCCGGGTGGTGGTAGAAGAGCCCGCTGTTCCACCGGCACATCTGGTGGTAGGAGATTTTGTCGCTGTATTGGACTTCTTGCTCCTTGAGGAGGGCGGTCGATTCGAGGTAGAGGTCGTTGTTTATCCAGGAAGGGACGTCCCAGTGGGCTTTGGGGACAACGTCTGTGGACGCATGGGGTGGTTAGTCTGTGGGTCTTTGAAAACGAGTTATGGGCATGGGATACCAAAGCGGACTTCCGCCTTCGTCGCTGCGCGGATCTTGGTCTTGAACTCCTCCGTGAACGGCACGTCGTTGAGGAAGGTCCAGGGGTAGTTGAACTTGTGATTCCAGGTCCGCTCCAAGTCCCGCATCGACTGCAGCATGTCATTCAGCTCCTCATTCCGAACCAGCGAGAGGAGCGTTGCGTTTATGCGGTTGGACTGGGGGTTATCCGGCGCGTAGTTGTTGCCGACTACCCGGTGGAGAGGCTCCGGAGGTTCGCCGGTTGCTGCACAGGATCAGCGCTCACTCTGCACACGGCTTTCGGGAGCATACGGTCTAGGTTGGGGTCCTTGGTCCATTTGTCTATCTTCAGCGAGGGTGATTCTGGTGGTGGCGGCGTGACGGTGAATATCTGGTACAGTAACCAGAAGAAGATGCCCAGCGTCACTACCGCCAGCAGGCGCATGCTCTTGGGCATCGCCATGGTAATGTGTGGCCGGAGGAGTGGAGGAGGCCGTGATGGCTCAACAGCCTCATTCGACTTTCTTGCGCAACGGGGATGCCAGACAGGGATGCCCTGCGCGAGTCATGCGCCAAGGGCGGACAGCGGGATCTTGCCAACAGGGGATAGGCAAGCCTCACAGGCTCAAGGGTCTCCCGTCCGCTAGCACCGCCACGGATGGCAGGGCTGTCACGCTTGCATTGATACTTCAATCGGCGCTGCTGATAGAGTTTGGTCTACGACAGTTGGAGCTAATAGGCGGTCATTTCACCCTGATATAATGGCTCTAAGAACAGACGATCGTGATGAGCAACTGTTGCAATGTAGCTAACCCCCCAGCCGCTCATACCTCCCCAACCAAATCCGACTTTCCCCTTCTCACCCCTCACGAATCTCTCGGCCCACCCTTGACCGGCTCGCCCGGTACATTCGTGCTCGAGTTATCGATCCCGACGTTCGAGGTCGTCGAGTCGGAGTAAACGGGCTTGTCGCTTGGTTTCGTGCCCTCGGTGTGACCTGGGGCATTGTCTGCGCCGAGGCCGTGCTCTGTCGAGAATGAGTAAGTGTTCCGCTGGTTCGAGTGCAATGTACGGGTGGACGCTTGCTCTGTGCCTCTTGCTTGAGATGCTTCTCGCTTGCTTGCTGGCCGCCGGGGGTCTTGGAGTGAGGCATCTCTGGCGAGAGGAGCTGGTGTGAGATGTGATATGTGTTGATTAGTGGTATGGGGTGTTGTGAGGATGTTTGCTCGATCTGCTGAATGGTGTATGGCTATGTAATATGAAGAACTCGAATGCCAAATAATATAAGATCAATGACGTATAGGTTGACAGTTGCGGAAGTCACGCTAGACTGTGACCCGAGATCGGAGGAATAGCACCTCAGTAAAATTATACTCAGGACGACTGCTAGAGACTTTTCCGTGCCTACTGCACAGGCACTGCGTGTCAATTGCAGGAGGTTATGCAGAAATCTGAGGCACTTCATACGGGAACGTGGTGTGTAACAGAATCGCATGCGGGCAAAGCGGCCTCATGCCTTTCCATCGTGTTAGACTCTCGTCTACTTACTTCTTCCGATGTGGAGATTGGAATAGCAGCCATCTGAATAACACGCAATGAGATGAACCTATCTTGGAGCAAAGTCACATGCATCTCATCGCATGTTGTCAAGGATTGACATGAACACAGGCAAGACTGTAGAGATACTGTAAGGTCTCCGTGGATAAGACCTTCATCTAGACTGGCACTTCTAATTCGTCAACTGCTGGACTCCCAACTTACTCCCAGATCGTCAAAATCTATCAGATCCGCCACCTTTCCAAGATCTTTATTATGGCCACTTCACTCTAGATATGGCTTGAACACGTTTATGAGGCAGTATACTACGGGGAGTTGCTTCCTTCCGTGACCTTGCTAAGCTGACTGAAGATTTGTCCGTTTTGGGAGTGGGGGGAATCTTTTCACCCAGGTGACTGATTCCAGACAACAGCTTCCATCAACAGGCAGCAGCTATGACTAGGCTGGATGCCGAAGTAAACTGGAAGACCACACTAGACAGACAGGATGCTAGATACATGCTCGCTCATCTTCGGTGATTCTCCTGGCGGAATCCGTCTGCATAAATCCCTATCTCGATAATCCGGCGCCTCCCAGAGGACGGGAGTATTGGATTAATCTGCAGTGTGCCTTACTCGTACGCTTCCATACAGCAGCTACAGAAAACGTTGTCCGAAAGCGGTCCGTATTATACTGTACGAGATATAGTCGTCCAAGTCGTAAACTCAAAACGCCTGCTACAGGCGTTCCAAGGTTCGGCGCCTGCTCAGCCCACCTCTGTTGATTGCAAACGATGCTCCAGTGCCCACTCCTAGGCAAATACCCACCTTCACAACCATAAAAGTATTGTTTTTTTAATATCGAATATGATAGTATTATATATAAATATAATGTCTTATCAATCTTCACTTATTTACAGCTTATTATAGTGGTGATTTATTATATTTAAACCTCGTTTACAATCGAAGGGTTGAAGTTTATCACGTGGTGATACCTATTGCAAGTTTAAATAGACGTGGTTGGACGAAATAGAGCTCTTTACGGTCTTTCGAAATCAGCTGAAGGTTGGTCTGAGCAGGCGCCGAACCTTGGAACGCCTGTAGGAGCTCGCTTCTCTACCTGTGCTCTTCGATAAACAGCTCATATCTCAGGATTTCGTCAACATTCACCCAGACAACCTCACACACTCCCATTGCTGTGCTAAACCTTTTCTCCTTTCTACGACTCTTCCAGCGCCTCCAGGCTTCGGCGCCAACATCTCCTCATCAATGAGGGTTCCCAACGCGTTCATAAAGCAATACCAACAATATCATGTACCGCTAGCATTGTCAAACAGCGAATGCAGACTGAAGTTCACGGCCTTAACGCGATGTCGTCTGAGAAGGTAACGCAGTCGTGACATGCTTGCGTCGCGTTCACCTTTGAGGCTCTTTCTTGCGGGCCAGTGTTGTCAACAAGTAGCTACAGTATATATTTGTTCCGCATTGGGAAATAACGATCCAGTACCGCCGGTATTACGGTAACTTGCCAAGCCGGTGATAAATCCAGCCTGCAAGGCCCTTGCAAGACCCCCCTAGGCTATATATGGCTAGAAAACGCCTTGGTGTTGACTTTCAGCCCAATCAGCCTCGATTGAGCCTCATCAGCCTCAATTGAGCCTTAACCAATCATGGCAGCGACTATACAAGACTCCCGCAACCAAACATCGAGAACACCTGCCAAGACCTTAGATACCACGGTTCGGCGGCTCCGAATATCCTCCAAACGGCTAGCTCCAGTACCGCCGGTATTGAAGATCCAGTACCGGTCCAATCCAGTATAAATGTTTAACGATTCGCGACCTATCAATTGACAATACTGCTGTGGGCAGAAGTCATTTCCATACTGTTCGGCGGCAGTGACGTGCCTCCTGAGATTTGATAGCACCGTCTGCTCAAAAGACTTAAATACCGTTCGAAAACTTTGGAGTTCACCGACTTCTGGCTTGTGGCCGTGATCTTGCGGCGTAGCAGCCAGACGCTTGTGCGCACGCGAAAGAGCAGGTACTCCATTCCAAAAGTTCAAGCACTGGACGCACACGACTCACACCTCGCTTTCCCAGCTCGCCTCAACTTCAACTACGTCAACCTCTCAAGCTTGACAACTCTGTTCCACCTAAGCTTCACTCCATAATCACGAGTTCATTCTCCCTCACACTCCCACTCACACCAACTCCAGACCGTTGTCGAAAGCGTCCCGCTTAAATCTTACAATGGCCGACGAGGACGTTTCCTTCCCGGCAACGCACATCCATGAGCCAACAGCGGATCACACTCACACTGCCATCATGCTGCACGGACGGGGTAGCAATGGACCCGAATTTGCCCAGGAGTTTTTTTCAATGAAGCTCTCAGGGTCTCACCAAAGTCTCGCATCACGTTTCCCAGGCTGGCGTTGGTTGTTCCCGTCTGCAGGCAAAATCTGGAACACGACCTTTGAAGAAGAAGAACCCGCGTGGTTCGACATAGCCTCATTGACGGACATTACGAGAAGACAAGACCTGCAGATGGACGGGATTGCCAAATCAGTACACCACATACTGGAAATCCTAGAGGAGGAGGTCGAACGTCTCGAGTGTGACGAGACGAAGGTGGTCCTCGGCGGCATCAGCATGGGGTCGGTTATAGGGCTCTGGACACTCCTGTGCCAGAACCGACCGTCAGTGAGGTTGGGAGCGTTCGTCGGCGCAAGTGGCTGGCTCCCACTCGCTGCGGAGATTGAAGAGTGGTTTCCGAAAGAGGAGTCCGACCCGACAGAGTCAACGTCAACATCCGGTTCAGAAGAGTCGGAGGCCCTGGCCTTCGTCAAAAGCATGATCGGCGGCAGGAATAATCAAAACCATGAACATCATAGTCTCAGTACGCTGCTACGCACTCCTGTGTTCTTGGGACATGGTACCGACGATGCCTATGTCGACGTATCGTTGGGCCGTCAGGCCAGGGATGTTCTTACGAAGCTCGGCTTCACGGTACAGTGGAGGGAGTACGTTGGCGCCGAGCTAGAAGGACACTGGCTGAAAGCGCCAGAAGAGATGGACGATATCGCGGCGGTCCTCGAAGCTGTCGAGAAGAACGGAGGAAGTGGACGCAATGATTGAGAACAGATCGTTCAGGAGTGCTGATGTCAGAAAACGTATGTCTTCATCGGCCTAAGCCCCAGCGGCTGATTAGAGTATTGAGGGTGAACTCTACGGCCAAGTCTAATGCTGTCTACTGGGAGAAAGTCACGCCAGTCGTCGAGGGGATCATGTATATCGATAGTATTTATTGCCTGGATAGATTCCTAGTATTCGAGTACTAACCACTCGTCTCCCATTCGAGTATTGCTGCGATCTTAATAGCCTGATTCGAGTCAAGAGAGGTAACAACGATATTCCAGGGATGGAGAGCACCATGTGTCATGAGATCCTGTGGTCTTCTCTCGTGGAGACCGGGTCATCTCGCTCTGGTGTCTTAGATCGCCCCATGTGCGAGCAGATAAAGTCATTGAGTTTTGTTTGTTTGGGCCATCGAGAACATGCCCTGATCTTCGCACGTCCTTGAATAAGGGGTTCCGGATGCCGCCAAGTATTGCCGCTCTTAGATTCTGAGTATACGGAATTGATCGGAGAACTCCAAGGGCAGTGTTGAGTTGATGCCGAACAGACAGCTTCTACGAAGGACTGCGCTTCGATCATACTTTATCCCGAGATGCCTGGCGTCATGGAGAGAAACGTTTGCTGGTCTTAGCCGGAGCGCAGCGTGGATGCCAACGCCTTAATAGTAGTAACCGCCCATCTTCTTGTGCAAGACGGGATAACGTTTCTGTACAGACTTTCCAGCTCTCCCGTCCTCAGAGTGGATTATGTGGGGCTGTTCCACGAGTCAGCCCCATGCGTCCTTCAGCCGCACGATGCTTCTTCCCGCAGGGACTGAGGCTGAGGCTGAAGCTGAAGGGCGCCTAAGTTTGCGCAACCCCGTCGCCGTCGCGAAATGACCTCGGGAATCTCAGTTCAGCGGACAGAGCTCCTACAGAACCCATAGCTGTCTTAGGGTGTAGCAGTCATGGCAAGCACGAAGCCGGCACCAAATGTCCATACGGGCACAGCGAGCCCTCCGCTACAATGCCCCTTCTCTGAAGCACACAGCTTGGACACGCAGCTTCCCAGTGGACCCGTTTCCACCGGAGCTGCACAGCAGCAGCAACCCACTAATCTCGACCAGCTGCTGAGCGCCCTCCCCACCGTCTTTCGGGCTAAGAGCGAAGGAAGGAAAGGTCGCAGCGAAGGCAAATACCTCGAAACCTCCTCCGACGTGCTGGGCTTCGTAACGCAAGACCTAGATGTCTCGCGGCTCAACGATATCCACGGTCATCTCTGGATGGCCGGGCGTCCACTCTCCGCGCGGCCTCTACACCGACAAAAGATGATGGACCGACGAATCCTCTACACCGAGCAGGCAGACATGCACCTCCTCACCGCCGACGACAGACTCTATCTCAAGCCCATACCGCTCTACCTGCTCAGCCACACGTTCTGGACGACCTACTTGTGCGAGAATAAGGAGCTGCATGCTAAGGCGTGCGGGTTCCTAATGTCGTACGTCTGGCTCATCGTCTCGGAGCTGGACTTCCACCTCGCGCGCGACGAGCACTCGGACACGGAGCACCTGCTCCCGAAAAGCGAGAAACTGACATGGGCGTGGTGGAAGGCGTTTGTGCAGGACTTCACGGCACACGTCGACCCCAATGCGCTCGAGCAGGTTAACAAGCGCTACCACTTCGGCGAGCTGCGGCTCGGCCGTATCAACACGATATACCGAACCACACCTAGGTTCCTGTTCACGCACTTTGTAAGAGGGTATCTGTACGGCTATAATCGGTACGAGGTATTTTTCCAGCGGAACTTCGCATGGGTACTTGTTGTCTTCGTGTGGTTCTCGCTCGTTCTCTCCGCGATGCAAGTCGGCGTTGCCGTGCCTCCTCTTAACGAGGACAGCGCGTTCAAAGCTGTGAGTTATGGGTTTGTCGTCTTCAGCATTGCCCTGGTTCTGTTTATGCTGGTCTTTGTCGGCGTCATATTCATGATTATCTTCTTCTTCAATATGGTTGTTGCGGTAAGGCATGTTGAGACCGAGAAGCGTAGGAGGAAGAAGTTCCTGGATGAGAAGAAGGGGGTAAAGATGGCTTAATTGCTCTATCTATGTTAGTTGTAGGGGGTATAGCAGATTCACCGCTATGGACAGAGGGACTTGGAGGCTTCTGAGAATGTTATAGATCAGGATACACTCGGAATTGCAGTACCACCCGGAATAGTAAATACTCTACTATAGTATAGTAACTATAACTTTTAATAGTTTATTTGCAGATTAGAATTTATATATCCCTTACCGCTACAAGATTCTCTACTAACATTGAACATGACCATCTGTGATGATTTCGTCCAGCGCTGCTGTAGGTATACCTTACATTTGGTCAAATTGGGCCCTAGCGGGTCAGTTCAGCGGAGCGGCATACTGTAGATCCAGGACATCGAGCACCACATTCTTCAGAGGATGGACGAGGCAAATGGCTGAGCTTTCCATGACCACATGTCTTGGGTCTCTCGGGGATCGCGCAGGTATTCCGTCAATCTTTGGGACTGCCAGGGCTTGTCGATGCGTTACTTTGGAGAGCGTACCCCGAAGTTGTGGATATGAATCCGCCTGCTGCCTAAAAATCTCGGATAGGTCGCAGGCGGGGTATTCGTCGATACGCGAAGTTAATTGCTTCACCGTATCGATATTGGCGCGTAAGAACGCGTAACGATACTAATACTCCGTGTCTAAGGAGGTAGGAAGCAGAGGGGTCAGTCGATCCATCTGTACATGTAGGTGTGATGCTACGCTTCGTTCAGGAGTAGAAAGAAGCGGCTCCTTGAATGTTAGCAAGCTCTCGTGTGTAGTACAAGAGATAAATGCGTTTCCGAGTGAAGTGACAAAGGTTGATGGTCACGTGAGTGCCGGCCAAGACACAGATAAGAATCTCTTTCACGTTCTTGGCAGGAAACGTGGGATCTTCAGGGCTGTTTCTGCATCGAAAGTGATCATCAGGAGGAAGCTTGGCTGCGGCCGCGCTGCTGCAGTCCTGAAGCCGCCGGTCCCGTCGAAGGTCGTTATGACTTCATTATCGGATCCAGGAGCTGCTCTCGAAAGTGAGGCACCATGTCTTACCATGTCTTACCATGTCTTACCGAGGGAGGATCGAAGATCGTGGTGCTTGGCTTGAAGGCGATAAGGAACTAACGGCAGACAGTAAGGTGGACAGACACAATACCAGGACGCGCTCAGACTGTAAAAAGTGGTGGGACTGTTGATCGAGAGACGATCGAAGGCATAAATAGCTCGAGTGCATCAATCCAGGACGTGCGCCAATAAGAAACAGAAAGAGCCACTGATAGCTGCAGATATATCCTCCAACGCAAGCTCTAGCATCCAAAGCAACAGCAAGACGCCATGAAACACCATCCAAGAGCAGCAATGGCCCCAAGCACTTCTCGCTCAGTCGCTATCACTGTGATCCGGATTCGCAACAAACAGCCTGACAGCTCCACTCATCGTATGCGTCCTATCATCCACACTCCCCCTCCTCCTCAGCTCATCCGTGATACTCCTATCATCGCTCATCCTACTCTGGTGTGGCTGCATCTGGCCCAGCTGGCCAAAACTGCTCTCACGCTCCCCTGAACTCCCACTGCCGCCCGACAGCCCCGTTGTCGTAGACTGGGTGAAGTAGTCGTGCCCCCGCTGCCGATAGTCTCCCGGTACAGGCGTCTCCTCCGCCAGCTCGGCCATGGTATCGCTCGGCGAACTGCCCTGTCCGCTTGGCGGCGTGCTGTTCGTGCTATATCTCCCCCCAAGAGGCTGGCCGTGACTCGTGACTCTCCTCCCGCTGCCGAGCGAACTTCTGTCCGAGCCGGTCCGTTGATGATACGGCCGGCCTGTGTACGCACTATCCCCATCATCACTCGCTCCGTCGTCGACCTCACTAGCACTCAGCCGCATCGGCACCCCTGTACCGCTGAGATTCGCGCCGGGCGCATACCGCTCCGCCTTCTGTGCGCCATGGTGTCTGATCTTCCTGCCGACGCCGGCGACCACGCCGCTGCTCGATGTGCTCGTCCGCCCGCTCTGGTTCCCGCCGACGACTTCCATCGCCGCGCGCATCTTCGCTGCTCGCTGGGCGGCCAGCAGGCGCGGGTCCTCTGTCTGCGCGCGGTCGCACCAGACGGTCGCTTTCTGCTTGCGCATCAATGCCACATAGGACGTCGGCTGCATGGAGCGGCCGCTCGAAGATCTGCGGAGGCCGCCGCTGGCGGTGCTGTTGGTGCGAACGGGGATCATGCCTGCGCCGCTGCTTCGGTTGGTTGAGGTCGTCGAGGCGGTGGCATTGGAGAGGGTGCGGCGGGTTGCGGAGGCGGACTGCGAGGGCTGATAGGCGTGGTAGGCTTGGTATATGGGCGCGCCGGTGGGGAGGACGTTGGAGGAGGAGGTGCGGGTGTGCGAGTGTGCGCTCTGTTGCTGGCCCGCAGCGAACTGGCGAGGGATGCCTGCACTGCCTGGGATGGGCTTGCGGTGCAGCTGGCCGTACTGCGGGTATGAATCTACCATCGTCGCTGACATGGCAGAGCAGACTGGTCGACCGGGGTGAGGGGGAGATCTAAAGGCCAGAGGAGCGGCGCAAGGGTGTGGGCCGCGGATATTTCTTCGCCAATAACGCGATAGAGAAAGCGAGCGGCGGGAAGGAGGAGAGAAGCCACTAGCGGGTTTCCCCACGGGTGTGGTCGATAGGTGGACGGGTGTCTGCTGAGTGCGGAGAGGCTGCTGCCAGGCCTGGGTTGCGAGGCGAGATCGAGCTGGATTCAAGCTTTCCAGGCAGTTTCGCTTAAGCGGTCCTGAAGAACTCGTGCGTGGTGCCTTATCTGCGGCTGCTTGCAGCTTTTGTGCGCTCAGGGGGGGGGGACTCGATGGGGGTCGGTGAGAGTGAGCACAGCAGCAATGGTGAAGGAAGGCAGTCGAACGGCTTTCACGCTGGAACGCAGGCGCCGTATATATCCTGCGATGAGACTCTAATGGGCTCTTCACGGGCCATGAGCCATGGGTGCAATGCGCGACGGCCAAGTCGTGTGTGCCGGACGGGCTTCCACAAGCGGCGCTAAGGCAATCTGTGGGTCAGCCAAGAAGCCGCTTTGGGACCTTCAGCTGGCCCGTATCAGGCAAGGCCGACGCTCTTCTGGCCGCCGAGCAGTTCCGCTGCGTGCTGCTGGCGGTGCTGCTGTGGACTGTGGGGGACTGCGAGGTGCATACGGAATGCTGATTGATCCAACGCGCGCCAGAGCTGACCTCGTACGAGAATGCAGGTCCGACGAAGAAAAGACGCAATCCGCCACTCGCAGCCCGCAACGCTCGCATCAGTCCCGTTAGCCTGCTCGTCGTCGTGATTTTTGTCTCCCATCCTAGCCGGACACTATCCAGGTTCCACAAAATGACGAAACTCACTACTCGAAACGGCGCGTCAGAGGTCCGCAATTGATCTCAAGGATCCGCGTTCGTGGCCGCTTTGAGTCCGAGCCGCAACAGCTGGTGCAAAGCATCTGTGCGCCATGCAGCTTCTTATCATGGACTTTTCAGCCCGGGATGCGCCTTGCAGCAGGAAGGACGGACTGGTCACAGATCATTGTCTGAGCGTTCAATCACACCATCAGCAGCAACAGCAACAGCGTGCATGCAGGGCCAGGATGCCATAATCATGACAGACAACGGCTTGTGCCATGTGAAATCGCTCTGTGCATAACCTTGAATGGCCCGGACGAACGCTCTGCATCACGGCTCTCCCGTCCGCTCGACTGCCAGAGTTGTGTCGACCGTGTCCCTCAGCTGCTCGTCCTCCTCGGCCGTTACAGGTGAATCGCTGTATGACCCACCGGCTCCCCTATGTTCAATAACCTCCTATCCCAAGAATAGCCACTCAGCCCTACGACCCTCCCACAAGCCGCCTTGAAACATCCATCCAATACGATGCCAATGTCGCACACAGATCAGATCGGACCCGCGCTCCGACACCTCGGGTTGTCGTGTTGCGTGAGAAACCGCTATTGAAGCTTGAGAAGCGGTGTACCAAAGTAATGGGTTTTGCTCAAGGCTTGTAACCATTCTTAATCCACCCTGATCAATAATCCACATGTTGTGCAAGGATGTCTCGGATCTCTTTGTTTGTCCGTTCTCACCGTACGAGAAACATTGACTTTGCACCTGCAGCGGCAGCAAAAAAGCAAGAAGCCGGTCAAAACAAATCGAACCACGGAGGGCGGAGAGGACCATGAAACGAGATCTGCTCTCTGTCCGAACACCTGATTACCTAAAGTACCTCCCCTCACGTTGGTAGTGCGTGGTGGTTGTTTGTACGCAGCGGAACCTCAGTTGGAAGCTTCAAGGCACGTTCCCAAAACGGCAGTACTGGCTCCTGCGTAGAACGTCGCAGTTCTTCAAAGCCCTCCAAACGTGTTTAGAACATGTTCACGCTGAATTTGCGTGCTCAGCCTAAGGAGCTGTCCTCTGCACAAAAGCAACGAGGCGCCTCCTGGCTTTGGCGACAGCCTTTCCGGGCTTCAGCAGCTGAGACGTTTCTGCATTCACGAGGGTCGCGCCGCTTGTCTTGAATGCCGTTGTCGACTTGAGATCCGCCTGGAAACACTCAAAATATCTTACTCATGCTTTTGTCGAGTCCTCCAATTGGTTATTCTGTTCTAGCAAAGGGCGCCTCCCTCTCATAACATCAGCTCTTCAAGCAAATATTTACTCCGTTTTCAGAGTGTCTCAGTCCCGCCATTGCTATACATGCAACCCCCCTCTCTCAACCCCATTTACTCCTTCACCAATCCCCTAAAATCCTCCGGTCCGTGTCCCTCCATCAGCTCCCTCACCCAAATCCCCCTTCCTCCGTTTTCTAAGCCCCGACTCCCGCAGCAGATCACGGCAAGTTATCAAATACAAGATCCGGAACAGCGCTCCGTGACCGTCCGGATACCGTCACCTCAGAAAGCGAGTATGCAGCATCTTCTCCCACCTAATCTCGTCTCAGGACTTGGATAGGGGAGAGACCCGTCTAGATATGCGGTCAGTCACAGCGACTGGATCGACACGCATATGGCATGAGCGGGCGTCACTGCTAAGTCTGCGAAGCCGATGCTGCGGCCGCGGTAAAGGGCGGGACGATCATGAAGTGGTAGAGCAGGCAGGGTCTGTTTGGATGTCCTGTGGGCGTTTGCTTGCTCTCTTGCAGTGGCTTGGGGTGCGGATTCAGCGTTGGCTAGTCACCTAAACGAAGTAAGTGGAACAGCACCTTGGCGTCCGCCTTTGCCATGGGTTTATCCGGCTGGTCCGAGTGGTATGGAAGGCCGAGCTCAGCGTCCAGGCCCTCAGGAACGAACTTTATGGTAGGTCTGTGTCTCCAGCCCGTCGTATAGAGCAGCGCTTCGACGATCAAACGCTCACCGTTCGAGAGGTGAACCGTCTTGGCCGACAGGCGCATGACATCAGCAACATGCACCCTCCCCCTTCCCCTCCTCACCATCTCCCGGAAATCCTTCAGACAACTCACAACACTCAGACTGCACCCGCTCCAAAGCAGCTTATACTACGGCCTCACCTTCCCCACCTCCTCATATTCCTCATGTATCCCATTCAGACCCACCACATCCCTCCCCAGCACCCCCCGAACCCCATCCACAACCTCACGCCCGACAGCATTCCCACACGGCAGCTACCGCACCCACCCAACCCCGTCGGCATCCCCCCACACAGACTCATCCATGTGGTTATGCTGGGATGTGGGCTCTAAGTAAACCCACCTGCACCTATGATGACCAGATCCACGTCCTCCATTGTATGTTGAACGTAAAAGCCAACGCGATGCCGCCAACGGGTCTCATCCTTTTATAGATGCTGCACTCGGACAGAGAACGTCCCCACGCACCGACTTGGACCCACTTCCCATACATTAACCCTTATATTTCTCGATGGCGGGATTCGTTACCCGGTCGAATGCAGTTATGATCGTTGAATTCGATGGAGTAGAGGCCAATAAGTTTGCACGTTAGGTGACGCTATTTCACTGGATGTTTGGGCCACAAGCGGAACCCTTTTAGGTGTGCGAGCGGTGCGATCAACAACCCATCATGCCGTGAAGGTGTGCAGGCCGTGTTCTGCGGAAAGATCTGAATTGTCTCAGAAAATGTAGACGGTGGTATCTCAAACAACAAGACGAAGAAGATAAGAACAGAGCAACAATCACAAATCATCACAATGTAGTAGATCAATTGACCTTGAGAGAAGCTCGGCCTCGCACAAGATCAACGTCATATCCTCGCTATGACTGACCCTGAACGTACGCATAATTTGACACGAGCTTCCTATGAAAGGTAACAGACTAATGGTCTACAAATTAACCCTTTAACGCCGGAATTGCAAGGCTCATCCTCATGCGGTGGGTTGATACCTAGCTAGCCCACGATAGCCCACCTTCCGAGGAAGCACGTCGCTTTTCAAGAAGATGAGGAGCCAGACGATCCAGTCATCCGGTTGACAATGCTTGACGATGTGGATACGGAACTGGAGCTTGCACGAGACGCTTCGCTTGATACGCAGGAGTGTGACGCTGATCACCAGCGCTCCTATTTTAGCAGCCTACAAGGAAGGCAGAGCAAGGCAGAGCAAGGCAGAGGAAAGTCGACATACTTTCAATGGTGGGTTCACTTCAATGATCTCGTATATAGAAAGACCTCAACGGCATCAATAGCAATCAAATGCCATGCTAGATTTCTACCGTGCAACACAGCCATCATCGCAACGGACTAGAGCGTACAGCGCCGTCACGACAGCAACTTAATCCCCTCTACCCTTCCCGTATCATCACCAGAGAAACCCTCACAGCAAAAGCAAAGTCGAATCGAATGTGCTCATACTCATCCCAGCAGATGCCCCCCGCTAGAGCCAAAACCTCGTATATGCCGTAAGATATTACAGTGCGAGCAACAGCAGCAAGGTCCCTCGCAGTCTGAATGCAAGTGTAACATGTAGGGAAACATGGAGAAAGCGAGCAGTACAGGTATGGAAGCATGTCTTTGGGTTTTGAGAAGACTCCGTCGGAGATGAGCGAATCGTACAGCAAGGTAACGCTAAGCCGCTAGGAGCTCTCCATCCGGTACGCCGACCGGTCCGATATGCAGAGTAGAATTGAGACACTAAAGAGAAGTTGTTGGTACAGCCGGACCGCCCGATTTAGTTCCCGTGATCGACGTCTTGAGTGAGTCGAGGTTCGAAGTCGGGAAAATGTCGCAGTCCGGGTTAAGAATCCCGGAGCTCGTCCCAGCAGAGTTTCTTATGTGTGGATGACATCCTCACACTCTCAAGAATGCGAGAACTAATCCACAAACCCCATCCCCTCCTCAACATGCCCCATCAAGCCATCCTCATGATTCGTCAGGTCGTTGAAGATGTTATCCATGTTGCCCTGACTGCCGCTGCTCGCGAAAGGATGAGGACTCGCAAACAAGCCCGGATCAAGCGGCGCACCACTCTCCGACAACGGCCCAAAGTTTGGCGGCGGGCTAGGCGGCCGCGAGGATTGCGTGAAGACATTGCTGGCAGCGAAGAGGGGCGAGTTCGTGAAGGCGCTCGTGGTTGGTGGGTCGTTATACAGAAAACCCGGGAAGTGGTCTTGGGTGGATGGTATGGGTGTGCTGGTATCCGTTGGCGGGGCAGAGTAACCATGAGGTAAGCCCGGGGGTGTGTGGGACTCCTGGGGCGTGGGTTGGATGTCGTGTTGGGGCTTCTTGGCCTGCGCCTCGCTGGGCTTGCGGGACTGAGATTTGGTGGGCTGGGTCTTGGGACGTAGATGGGCGGGTAGATCCTCGGGGTTCGTGATGCCAAGCTCCTTCATCGCTTTCTGCTGTTTCGTGGGCCGGGGTTTGCGGGTTGAGAGGGAGACGTCTAGGATGGGGGGTGGGACGTCGGCGACGGGTGCCCACTTATGGACTTCCCGCTTGAAGTAATTTGTCTCGTCTGCGAGCAGGATATCCGCGCCCTCGATCTTCCGCAGGTAGAAGCGCTGGATTGAGAGGTCGTCTGGTGTCGAGAGCGGATTCATGTACGCCTTGACGAAGTTGCGGAAGTCTGTTGCGTGGTCGATGATGTTCCTTAAGCACTCTTCTTCTTCTGGTTGGAAGGGAAGTGCGAGGAGCTCGTCTTGCCATGCCTGTAGGTCCTCTAGCTTGGGGCGAGTCGCGTCTCGTGGGATCTTGACGCGGTAATCACAGATTGGGCAGGTGAATCCATCTTCTCCTTTGACCTTACCGCGGGCAATCTTGAGGCACTTGCCGTGATACCTGTTGTCTCACGTTAGCGTCCGCTAAAGACAAGACCATGTGTATTTACTCACCACTCATGACACAACTCGCACTCGATCATCAGTCCAGCTTCTGGTTTACGGCATATGCAGAAAACATCGCGATTACCCCCGTCCTCGTGATCCTCTGGATCCATAGGTGTGACCTCTCGCGATGAAGGTTCGACCGGCATGCGAGGTTTGTCGTTCAGGTCGAAACACGCTTCATTCCGCGCCTCCACAATCTGCATGTGAGCCTGCAAGATGTGCAAGGGCGCATTGGCCTTCCCGAAAAGCTTCTTTCCTCGCCGCATCCAGTCTTCGTGACGCTTCTGTTCTCGTTCGAGATCAATCGTGCCACTGGGCTTGCTGTTCAGCTCGTTCAAGGCCTCCATTGCATCGCGAACCTCCTTGTACATTGGACGCTTGCGGAAGTCTGGATCCTTGCTTCGCTCGTAGAGCGCCATAATCTGCTCCTGAGCGTCCCGTTGCTTCTTAAGGATGGCGTCCACCTGCATGAGCGTCTCTGGCGAAACTGGAAATTGAGTTGCTTGGCGTGATAAGGCGTCCAGCTGCTGGTAGTGCACATTCTCAACGGCCATCACTTCTTTCACTTTCGCCTCCCATAGCTCGCCCTGCTGCTTCTGCTCCTGCAGATGTCGAATGTCCAGATCTTCCTCGCGAATACCCATGGCCAGCCCCTCCTTGATGCTATCGACAACGTCCTGCAGTGTCGGAATCGTCTTGCGATAGCTCTGGACTTTGTCGAGCCACCTCTGATGTTGCACGAGCTTCTCCAGCGACTCTATTTCCGGAATGTCTACGTTGTACGACTTGCCGACCTCCGCCAGATCCTCGAGATCTTGCGTGGACTTCAGCCCGTGATTGACCAGCGCAGCCCGTGCGTTCTGCTGAAACTCGGCAATCTTGTCAGCTCGCTCTTGAAGCTGGTCGATTTCGGGACAGTCAAAGGAGAGATCGTCGGCCTTGTCGAGCAGCTTCCTGATGTTGTCCACGTTGCGCAGTTCACGTTCCCGCTCTTCCATTTCGGCGGCTTTCGCTGCATTGCTCTTGCGCCATGCTCGTTCGTTCTTTCGCCGGTTTTGCTGTTTCCGCGTAATGTAGTTGGTTGCTTCTTCCACCCACTCATTGCACCGCTCGACATACTTTCTCAGCGGAGGAAGCTGAGGTAGGACCCACTGGATCTTCTCTCCTTCGGCCAGAAGCGATCTTAAGGCTTTCAGCGATGGCCTTGGGTCGTCTTCCGTGACTTTGTTCAATTTCTCCGCCCACGCTTCTGGCACACGGGCCTTGTCAACAACCTTTTGGACGACAGCTCGGAGCGCGTCATCGGGGATGCGATGACGTACAACATGTCCGCCGAACGCTGGAATGCTTCCCGGATTCTTGGCGGCCTCGTCACAACACTCGTACAGACCTGCATGGAGCAGACACATCGTCTTGGAAAACCTCGTACATATGAAGCGAGAGAGATAGCCATACGACTTGCAGAATGTGCAGATCATCTCCTCTTCCGAGGGATCTTCCGCATCATACTCGACTACCAAATCGCACGGCGGCTGTTGACTGTCGGCGTTATCGTAGAGTGGAAAAATTCGGCAGGCATGGTTCTCATACGGCTTGTGCCGCTGTCGAAAGTCTTCACGTGCCCTGAGCTCTCGGTCTGACATCCTCTCTAGGGCCGGCGCAAGCCATTTCGCTTTCTTGATGGAGTTGCTGCCCTGTTGCGTCGCGGCAGTCAGTAGCAGCTCGTCGTGAGAGAAGCACGGCTGCCGTCGGAAGTCCTGCAGTCGCTGTACGCCCGCTTCGCCATACGGCTCCCAGTCACTTGGCGCAAAGTTGACCGCTTCGTTGAAGTTGAATCCGTGGTTGAACCCGGCATGGTAGGCTTGAGGGAAAGTGATAACGAACTGGCCAGCTCGCTGGTCGAGCGCATACACTCGAACGCCAGCTTTCTTGAGTTGTTCAGGGGTCAGCAGTGTGACCAGCTGGAACAGGAGGTCCGGCTGCGTCTCGAAAAGTTCGGGGACAGCTTCGCGCATAGCGTCCTCGAATTTCGCGGCGTCCTCGGCGGGTATCCCGTACCAGGTCTTGGTTGCGCCGAAGTGCTGATAGTTTGCAGAGTAGGTGTAGTGGTCCTCGTTGTGCCAGCAGAAAGTGGAGAAGCACATGCCGACGTACAGCCAAGGAATGGTCATGCCGGTGATGTCGTTCTTGATGTGTCGGAAGAGTGATTCAGGGTTGAAGGGGAGGATGTTCAGATTCCACGGATCTGTGGCATAGGGATCGCGCGGGTTCTTCTCGATGGTAGGAAAGCCGCTGCCGTGAGTGGTCGAATGGATGTCGGCACCGTACTCTACCTCGACGGTTTCGGTTATACTCTCTACGAGTCTCCAGAACTCTCGTTCGACGTCGTCTTCGCTGACAGGCTTCTTTACGTTCAGGACAGGGTCGAAGTGCGTCTTCGAGGCGAAGTAGTTCTCCTTGAAGCTGTTCGCCTTTTCTTGGAACTGCTTGAGGGAGTAGACACCGCCCTCCTCGAAGCCGAACTCGCCGGTGCCGACCAGACAGCGCGGACAGTGCCAGTCGTAGTCGGGAGTCGATTTGAGCCGAGGCTCGAGACAGTGCCTGTGGTATCCATTTTCGCAGCTGTCGCACAGCAGGATTGCGGCGGGGTCGTCGGCTTTACCACAGGCTTCGCACCTCTGTTGGTCATGTCAGCGACTGGCACAGAAAACAGCAACATGTGGCAAACGCTCACATCGCCAGGCTTCTCAGTCGAGCGGTCCCGGGGGGCGTGCAGGCGGGGCGTTGGCATTCGCGGCTGGGTCATGTGCGATCCCGCGACGGTGGGTGCCGCATCTGCAAGATGGTCAGTCAGCTGATCGTGGCTTGGTCACAGCGGCCAATCGGCTGCCTCGCGTGCATGAGACGGTGCCTGAGCCAGACAAGGCAGCTGCCGGTCGATCCCTCTTTCGGACGACCGTGTAACAGGCTCGTGCACGACGGGGCAGCCCTGCAGCGGGGTTGACAGGGAAGGAGACTCACCTTTCTTCAGCCGCTTGCTTCGCCGCCCTGCTGCATCCGAATCGCCGTTTGCGCCGCCGTCGGGCTCGTGCGACATTTGCCTCTTGAGCGGGTTGAGAGCCGGCGCGTTGGCCAAGGGAGAGCCGCTCGTCGCAGACGGCCGCACATCCGGCGTGTCGTGCGCAGATCCGAATGGGCTTTCGTTTAGCCGCTGAGGGGTCGCCTGTCCGTTTGCAGTGTCGCGATGGACGCCGTTCGGCGCATTGATTGCAGAGAAGCCGTTGGCTAGTGTGGCCGCTGCGTTGACCGCGGTGAAGCCTCCGGTATTGACGGCGGTGAATCCAGACGTCACAGGGGGACGGGGGGGCTCGCTGGCCGCAGGTGCAGGACCGTCCTGCATGCTGACGTTGAGAGCCGCCGACGCGCGGACGGCCGGAGAGTCTCCTGCCAGGCTGGACGCGCTCTGCGGTTGTGGCCGCTTGGCTGGCGACGGCCCAGGCGACGGCGTGTATGGCCCTCCGTTCTCGTACTCAAGCTGCTGGTAGACGCCGGGCTTCGCGATTCGTAGGTACTCTTCGTACGGATGTAGCCACTTCTGGTACGAGTTCTTGAGAGACGTTGATAGCGACGACATGATTTTCCCACTGTAGCCCAGATCTCTGCCGATTTCAGCCCACTTCTTGCCCTTGCACACTCTATCAAACCCGCCCCTGGTCTCAACCGCCTTCTTCAGCTTGTATAGATCAAGCGGACGCTTATCGACGCTCGGGAAGCGGTTCAGGTTCGTCCCGTGTTGTTTGTGAAACTTTGCCAGCTGATCCAGGTAATTCAAATTTGCTCGGGTACCTGTCCATGTCAGAACGAATACCCTAAGCGGCCACACATGAGCGAACATACCTCCCTCGACGGAGTTGAGCTCTTGTCTTCGTGTTCGGAAGTGGAAGCTCTACAGCATACGTCAGTATGGGCGCCCTTCTGACACAGACGCCCCTCGCGCGTTATCATGACGATGCGCTGCGTAAGATTGCCTAATCCTCCTTCTCCATAGACGTACCTCGGTATCGATGGCAAAAGGCGGTTTCCATGTATCCGGCGGAACGATTTTGACGATGCCGTACTTCATGCCCTCGGGCGCGATTTTCCTCATATACTCCATCGGATCCTTGAACTCCTCCTCCGTGGGCCAGAACGTAGGCGCTTCCTGCAATCCAAACAGACGACCAGATTTCGACACTTCGCGGGCTTCGTTCGGGGCTCCCCTTCGCTCGACCGATGAGAGACACAAGGGCTGGGCCTTGCGTGCGCTCAAAGGTATTATCATATTTCCATTCTGCGACACCCCGTTGCCCGGTAATGGAATACCACCCATCCTACTTCGAGTGCCATTCGTAGCGGTTCCGTTTCCGGGACTCGTGCGAGCTGTCGTGGTAAAGGTGGAGGAGGAACTGCCTCCTCCACTAGGAACGGCGACCATCAGCTGGGATGACCGTTCTTTTTGGCCACCTCAGGCGAATATTCGGCAGACGATTGCACACCGGTGTCCGTGGGGGTATCAGAGCTTCAGACCGAGTGAGTATGAGAGTGCGCACGCCTAGGAAGGGGCTATATCGTCGGACATGTGGGCAATCGCTAGGCACAAAGCTTCTCGCACGGCTCGCGCCAGTCGATATATGGGCTCGGCGTGTGGAGTGTGGCCGGTGTCGTGGATATGCGGATTCCGGTCGGTTAATGTCAGCTTCGACAAGGCTTAGAGTCGTCTTTCATGTCGCTGTTATGCGGTATGTGAGTGGGATATGGGGAGGCGGAGATGGCCATAGGCCTTGTTCAAAAGGTTCCCGGGGCCCGGTAAGCTAGAGCTAGCCGCTTTAAGCGAGGTCCGCCCTGGCTCCATCAACCGTTGCGTCCTGAGCCCTGTGGTATGTAAATAAGTATGTAAATAAGTTGCTTCTATATTTTGCTAGTAAGCAAGGCGCAACAGCATCTCGCGGGAGCTTATCATAATACTATTGCGCCGCTGTTGAAGCGTTGTCTGATGTCGATGCGTGAAGGTGAGGTCGGCGCTCGGCGAATCAGCGACCGCCAAGCGAGCAAAGCAATGCGTCTGGATCTTTAGACGACATCCCTGCGAGGACGAACCCGACAACTTGAAGTATTGCTGTACTTTCGGGGTAGTGTTACGCATTGCTCAAGAGTCCTTCTCATACGTTTCCATTGAGTGCTTCACGCCTTCTCAGTTTCCAAGTATCAGTACTACGCCAGTGCCCTTCCGCTTCCGGTTGATCGTTTGTTGTTCCTGGAGTGCCCTGATCACACGACAACAAACCTCGAGCTTCACTTTCACAGACACACACCTATATCTCGTTAAGAGCTATATGGACAGGCCAATCCCCGCTTTCTACTGCTGCTATCTGCTGCGTTCGACGGTGAGACATTCGGCGCTCTACGTCGGGTCAACACCACACCCCGTGCGCCGGCTCAGACAACACAATGGTCTTGAGAAAGGAGGCGCTGTGCGCACTTCTAGAGATACACTTAGGCCGTGGGAAATGACGTGCGTGGTTGCTGGCTTTCCGTCGAAGATCGCTGCGTTGCAGTTTGAGTAAGTCTAGCTCTTCTATCTACTACGACTGTTCCGAGCACAGCGTTGGTAACCTTCACAAGTGACGTGTGTTACGTTGTATGCAATTTGGGGAAGGCATGATTGGCCAGGAACTCTCATTCGAATAGCCTGGAGTGCACCGTTGTTTTATCTGGAGTAATCAGTTATCACAAAAACGCTCTCGACACTTCAGTAATTGTTCAGGATACTTGCACCTCGATGGGGAGCACGTCTTAATGCATACTTACCAAAGCTCCGTCTGTCTTGTTTTCTATACCCAACATCACATGCCTCGATCTCGAGAAGGTATCATTTATAGCGAGTGATACGTACTGACAAACTCCAGATGGGCCTGGCAAAACACCCACACAACCCGGCACATCGCCCCCGCCGAACGCCTAACCCAAGCCCACTCCAACATCCGCATCTCCCCCCGCTCCGGCAAGACCAGGAAGCGGCCGGCTCGCCCGCGCGTATCCCTGACCGACAAGCTCTCTAACCTGCATCTCCTCCTCCGCGTCAAGAGCTTCGAACGCTGGCCGCTCGAGGTGCGCTTCTTCGCCGAAGACGTGTATCGGGCTTGGCAGCGGTGGGATGCGCTGGTAAGGTGTAGGATCCGGAGTGGTATTAAGGTCAATTTAGAGAAGCATGCTGGCAGACTGCCAACGGCGCGACAGAGCGGAAGTGCAGGTGTCGTGGACGGTGAGGCGCCCGCTGCGTCAGTGTTCGTGCCGGCGGGTATCGAGTCCATTGATATCGGATATGCAAGCTCCAAGTCGTACATCGAGAAATGTCAACAGTTACTCGGCCCTAATAGCGCCCACTCATGCAGCATCTGCAGGAAGCATGTTAAGCCCAGCGCAGCGCTCTTGCTTGTCTGCCCGGAAGAAGGCTGTCGGATGATCTCCCATCTATCTTGCCTTTCCTCTCAGTTCTTGAGCAAAGAAGGTGACCAGGACGCGATAGTGCCGACGGAGGGGCACTGTCCGAGCTGCCAAACCAAGCTGCAGTGGAGTACACTGGTGATGAACTTCAGCCTCCGGCTACGGGGACAGAAGGAGATGAACAAGCTGTTCAAAAAGCCGCGACCAAAGAAGGCGAAGACGACGGAGGGGTCTAGTACAGTGGTACCGACCACAGCAGGCGAAGCAGATGATGAAGAGAGCGATGGCGACGCGTCTGATGATGATGGCACTGACAACCTTGCATTGCACTCCGTGGAGGCCCACGGTGTGGAGGCAGAAGCCGAGGCGCAAGATGAATGGTACAACCTTCAGGACGATATCGATGACCTTCAGTCTGTAACAGATGAACCAGATGGCGCAAGCTACAACGTCGGCATATCGCGGCGTTATCAGCCAGACGTTGTTATCGAGGACAGCGACTGGGACGACGCCATGGTTCTTGACTAGCGCAGCCTGTCAATTAGGCGTCCTTAGTTGTGTCTTTTATTCTTTCGGCTGCCTCGGACTCATCCCGGTCTTGTCGCGCACTTGGACAAGAACTACCATGGCCCCACGCGTCGCAATGGCAGATCCTCTATGTCTACGTGAGCATCGATTGCAGCGATGACCTCCAGAATGCGTTCTTCCACACTCTCAAGGCTCGCACCAGCATCGATCTTGACAAAGTCTTCACCTTCGGGCGACGACTGCAAGACCCCGAAAAGCTGACGAACGCGCTCCTGCATTTTCCTGGTCTCGTACTTTTCCTCGCCGAAAGAGCCTCGCCGGGCCGCGTCTTCAGCGGAGATGTCGAGGAAGATGCAGATGTCCGGACGCGGTAGGCCTACTTCTGGATGGCGGGCCCAGCTCAGGTCGAGCGTGGGGTTGTCCTTGGCGGCGGAGTAAACGCAGCCTGAGTAATAGTAGCGGTCGATGATGACCGTAATACCGGCCTGGATATCTGCCTCGATAGATGCTACCTTCTCCCAGCGGTTGATAGAGAAAAGCAGATGAATGACGTGATCTTCTTGCTCGCTCTCGCCCTTGAGATAGGCATCTATGGCTTTACCCGTCGCCGTGCTCCTGTCTGAGTTTAATCAACAACGAGAAAGCAGCATGTATATTTGGCTGTGGTCTCACCCGGAAATCGGATCAATCGGACAGGCTCTGCCCGTCTCTTGAATGTTTCGACCAAGCGCATACACTGCGTGGTCTTGCCGGCTCTGTCCAAGCCCTCAAACACAACGAGCTTGCCGCGCGCCATTGTATTTCTCGCCCGTTGTTCTGGATTGGTGTAGTAAATAATTCGCACAATCGATGCCGAAGACGCCATGTCTTCAATTTGGCGTGCCGCTACGCGAAATCTTGGCATTTAGTTTGGTGATATCGTGAAACGACCGCTGACTTCGAACAACCACCGAGAGCACTGACAAGGCCACAGTACAGTAGGCTGAACTCAGCTGGACCTGGCGTATCTTCTCCGCCTACCTTCGATATCCCACGACCTACCTGAATATTGGCGGTTTCATGGCGGACAACCTCACGCTCGGCCTCTCCCAGCTACCGGATGAGATGCTCACCTTCACCCTCCTAAAAGCCTCGGAAGGTCTCACCCCACGGCTCGGCAAACTCGCCTTCCCCGGCAGATCCACCATCCAGACCCCCCACTACATCGGCAACGCGTCACGAGGTGTGATACCGCATCTCTCCCAGGACTTGTTCAGGAAGCACACCAACATCGACGCCATATACGTGCCCTTAGAAGACTGTAAACGCCCCTCAGTATCTTAGTTTCATAGCAGCAAGAGCTGACGAGCCCGTCTGACTAAGCCCTCAAGTTGTAGAGAAAGCACCGCAGCATACCCCGCCGGTTTACGAGCTCGATCTCCCGGATGCGGAGTCGCCCTTGCGCCGCTTCATCGCGCTGAAGCAGGATGCGTTTCTCATCATGGGCGCGCGGAGAACGCCTCCTATAGCGGCCCCGGCAGCCAATACCAATGGCGCGATCAGTATCCTGACCTCGGTCGGGTTTCGTCATCTAGCTTCTTCGGACTATGTCGCCGCTGCGCAGAAGCTCCGACCGGACATCGTGGTTGGGCTGGGTGATATTGTATACAAGCAACAAGCAAAACCCAGCAACAAGCGGGTGGCCAAAATGGCTGATCGGACTGAGGCCTGGACGAAGGACATCGTAGATGGCAAGAGCGGTCTGGACAAAACGACTAGGGACGGACCTCGCTATAGCATCTTCGCGTCAGTCCTCCCAATCAGCTCCGAGCTACAGTCCTCCTATGTCGACGAGCTGGCGGACGAGCTGCGCGACCAGCTATCCGGCCTCGCAATATACGACCCAAGCTCCCTAACGGATCTCCCACAAGCGCTAACACCGCTTCCGCGCTTATCCTTCTCCGAGCCCTCAAGCCCGCGACAGCTACTGCACGAGCTATCCCTAGGCACAGATTTACTCACAATCCCCTTCATCAACGCAGCCACCGATGCAGGAATAGCCCTAGACTTTATCTTCCCTCCCGCCAACGCTTCTAGCAGCACACGAAGGCCGCTAGGGGTAGACATGTGGTCCTCAACGCACGCAACAGATCTTTCGCCGCTGAGTTCGGGCTGCGGATGCTACGCGTGTAAGAGACACCATCGTGCATATTTGCAGCACTTGCTGGCTGCGAAGGAGATGCTGGGCTGGACGCTTCTGCAGGTGCATAATCACGCGGTTATGGATCAATTCTTTGCTGGTGTCCGGGCGAGTATTGGGAAGGACAAGTTTGAGGAGGATAGGGTGGCTTTCGAAGCGGTGTATGAGGCTGAATTGCCGGAGAGGACTGGGCAAGGACCGAGGCAAGTTTGCGTGATTGTTAACGGGTTTGGATAGAGTGCTGACGCAGGCATTGCAGGGTCAGAGGATATCAGTTTAAGTCGGAGGGCCCGGGCGAGGCGAAGAAGAACGCCTCTGCCTACCGCATGCTTGATGAGAGGAAGGAGTTGCTTGCTGAGGCAAGTACGCCTAGTTCAGGTACTGATGCGAAAGATTTGGAGAATATCGGGTTTGCAGAGGTGGTCGAGCGGCAGTAATAGTAGACGGTTCGGGTTACCTGTAGGGTATTGTAGGTCGGATACCCTCTGTGAGTGAAGAAGGGGTTGTATGTCAAAATGTAGTATGCAAAGACGCATCTTTGCCGAGAGTAAAGCTCTAGCCTCGACAATACTGTTCGGAGGATGTACCAAGCGAAGCCAGCCCTTGAATTTGGTTGATTCAGTGACATTCCTGACATGCTTCGGTGAGCTGTCGTCTTCAGCCTTCAACAGATCTCAGCAGCGGTGATATCAATAAAATGTAGGGTCCCTCTGACGCCGCCCACGCAACAGTAAAATGCGCGGCCAGCTCTTATGGGACTCAAGCCAAAGAACAGCTACTCCGTCTCCGCACCACTGAATCGCAAGACAGCAATTGATAGCCCTGAGCTACAGCAACAGAATGTTGACGCGCGTGGCTGCTGTGATGAACTGTCTATATGGGTGCGTGAAGAAGGAGAACAAGAAGAAGAGAGTTGCGGTTGCGGCTCAAGGTTTTCCTCAATGGAGGCTAGAAGCGCTAGGCTGAATGCGGCATTGCTAGTACTGTAGCTGTGCATAACCTTATGCAAGCCGTGTTCATTCATACTCAAACATCCAGACACTGCGAGTCCTGTGGTAACCTGCTATAACACAACGACTACGAGATGTTTGACTGGTGATCGGCCACCACTGTCTTCACAACACTCTCAGCGCCCGAAACTCGACGCAGAAAACCACCCGTTGTTTACTATGGCTTCTGCGGTCTTCTTCCTCGACTTGAAGGGCAAGGTGTGCTTGCGCCTGTACGGTGTCAAGTGTACACTGCTGATCCTACCTGCAGACCCTTCTTGCCCGCAACTACAGAGGAGACATCCCCATGTCGGCCGTCGAGAAATTCCCCATCCTCCTCAGCGAAGCCGAAGAAGAAAGCTCCGCCGTCCCGCCATGCTTCTCCAGCGAAGGCATCAACGTACGTCCAGGGAGCGCTTAGGAAAATATCGCCTCGGGGGGCGCATGCATATGCTGCAGACTAGACTAGCTCAGTATTGATTGTATCTGTTGTGTAGTACCTCTACATCCGACACAACAACCTGTACCTCCTCGCCCTCACAAAACGCAATACCAACGCCGCCGAGATCCTGCTATTCCTCCACAAGATTGTCGAGGTGTTCACCGAATACTTCAAGGAGCTGGAGGAGGAGAGTATACGCGACAACTTCGTCATCATATACGAGCTCCTCGACGAGATGATGGACTTTGGATACCCGCAGACGACGGAGAGCAAGATATTACAAGAGTACGGCCACAGCATACCGTTCATGCGAGCCAAACATGGCGAGTTTCGAGGGAGACTAACACCACTTCTAGGTACATCACCCAAGAGTCCCACAAACTCGAAGTCCAAGCCCGCCCTCCCATAGCCGTCACAAATGCCGTCAGCTGGCGCAGCGAAGGCATCCGCTACCGCAAAAACGAAGTCTTCCTCGACGTCATCGAGTCGCTGAACCTGCTAGTCTCCGCAAACGGCAACGTGCTGCGCTCCGAGATCCTCGGCGCCATCAAAATGAAGTGCTACCTGTCCGGCATGCCTGAGCTGCGGCTAGGCCTGAACGACAAAGTCATGTTCGAGACCACGGGACGGGCTACGAGGGGGAAGGCGGTGGAGATGGAGGATGTTAAGTTTCATCAGTGTGTGAGGTTGAGCAGGTTCGAGAATGATAGGACGATTAGCTTCATCCCACCGGATGGGGAATTTGAGCTTATGAGCTATCGGCTGAACACGCAGGTTAAGCCCCTGATATGGGTCGAGTGCATAGTGGAGAGCCATTCGGGGAGTAGGATAGAGTACATGCTGAAGGTACTTCACTCCTTTAAGCCTCAAGAGGCTTACGTTGCTAACAGTCAGCTACAGGCAAAAGCACAATTCAAGCGTCGCAGCACGGCCAACAACGTACAAATAATAATACCCGTCCCCGACGATGCCGACAGTCCGCGCTTCCGCACCAATATCGGAACCGTACATTACACGCCCGAGTCCTCCTCCATCGTGTGGAAGATCAAGCAATTTGGCGGCGGTAAGGAGTTCCTCATGCGGGCTGAGCTCGGCCTACCATCGGTTCGCGGCGATGATGAGAAGGGTGGCGGCATGATGGGCGGGTTCGGTGGGAGTATGGGCGGTGTAGGCGGCGGAAAGGGAAAGAGGCCTATCAATGTCAAGTTTGAGATTCCGTATTTCACTACGAGTGGCATACAGGTGCGGTATCTGAAGATTATTGAGCCGAAGGTATGGCGACTGCTCCTTATCCGGCCCTCTTTTGGCCTTGTTTACTGGTTGAGGTGTGTCCTTACTGACATTTTGGTCTTTCCAGCTTCAATACCCGTCTCTGCCATGGGTACGGTACATAACGCAGTCAGGCGACATCGCGGTGCGTTTGCCTGAGGTGCAGTAAAAGTACCTTGGATCTAGAAACGGAGCTCAACGGAATCCTGTGAATGGCCGAAGCGCGTTGACTGCGTCGGAAAGAATTACGATTCATGAGCAGAAAGAGATGACCTATGATCTCGCGAAGAGCGCAAGCTTAAGACCTCTGCAGTCACCAGTCGTGACTAGGCTGGTACCGTGAGCGTTGGGGTGGAACCTCGTCGAGATTTTACCGCGATCCACTGTCTGCCCTGTGGACCACTTGCGCCGATTGACGATGGCGTCGCCAGGTTAAGAGGTGTCAGTGTTGCGTGGATATACTGCCGATTCCGGTCGAGACTGCTTCCCACCCGGTAAATTCTTCGTACTCCTCCACATTTTGTACCCGCATCAATACAAGCGCGGAGCATTACGTCTTCGTCTCAGGTATTTCATCGTTGCTTTCCAGCCCTGGTTGTGCATTCGAATACACTCAACAGACTATTCGTGTCTTCAAATATCATTCTAGCAGAGGTCTTTTGCCCAGTCATGTCAGGTTCATCAGAGTTAACAGCCAGCGCTTGGCGCATTTTATGACTGACGCTCGACGTGGACATAGAGTGGAGCTGCCGAAGACAGATCGTTTGCGCATTTCGTGAACAGTACTGCTTGACTTGAGCGATTAGCTCTTCAGTAAGAGAGATACTGTATTACGTTGCCTGTTCCTGTGCTCTACCTGACGGTCAAGTCACTCGCCTCACCATAACCGTTATATGCAAATCTTCTCAAGTCCCAATCCCACACTTCCAGTCGCACCACCCCAGCTCCATCTGTTGCTCTGCTTAGAATCCTTGTTTTCTCTCCTTTCTCCATCTTGACCTTCGCCGTCCACAGTGACCAAGCCCAGAGCAATCTTCCCCTACCCTTCACCTTCTCCGGCACCTCCAAGATCTCGGTCTCCACCCAACTCATTCCCTCATCCACAGATACCTCAACCTTCTCCACCGGCGCATTACTTCCAGAGGGCAACGCATGCCCCTTCACCGCGACCATCCCCTCCTTGTCCCTCCACACCGTCCTCCCATTCACCAGAACCCCCACCACGCTGTCAATACCAATCACCAGCAGCGCAGGCGTCCTATACCACCACCACCCCCGCGCCCTCCGCATCCTCAGCCTGCGGCGGTAAGATTATATAGTCACACATCTGGTAGATATTCGCACTCTCAACCATCTGCACCATTATCCTATCAACCCACTTCACGGTCCTCGCGTCCGCTACGCCCCGCACGACGACTCTCACAGGCCCACCATGCTTCGTAGGCAACGTTGCATCGTTCATCCGCAGCGCGAGAACCACATCCGCGTCCTCATCCAGCGCACGTGATAAGAGGATCGAGGCGCCGTACCACCCGTCCTCCTACCACGGCTGGGACCGGCAGGCGAACGTCACACACGCCCTTTCCCGCGCCTTCTCATCAAGCACCTCCAGCACCCTCGCCCCGCGCAAAAGCTCACAGAGCCGCGACCCCCGGAGGACACGATTCATGGCCACGCCGTCGACTTCGATGAGGTTGGTGCGCATGGTGTGGCGGCGGTTGCCGGCGTATTGGAGGGCGCAGATCATGATGTGTTGGGGGAGACGCTGGAGGGAGGGGATGGTGTGGTGAATAGGTTTGCTGATAAGGCCGTCGAGGGTTAGGAGATGGGATGAGGGGGGGTGTGGGGGACGAGGTCGTGGCTGCGGGTAGGCGGGGGGGCGGAGGGTGGGGAAGCTGTGGGGGGGTGAGTAGATGCCGATTGGACTGTGAACTTGTACAAGGAAATAGGTCCTGATTGAAGGACCATGCTAAATCGGAGGGGGCTCTAAACGTCTCAATGCTTGAGACGTGAGAGCCCCCTCGAAGCATATTGATGATTGGACCGCAACCTCAACGCAGTATTCGTTAAAGATGCACAGCCTAGAACGCATGACTTGAAGCTAGAAGCCTAGAACATAGAACAGACCTCTCAACAAGCTCCTCAAGAGGGGGTTCTCTGTTAAGAGGGACTTCTGTCGAATACTCGAGCCAGGTGGGCTCCTCGACACAGTTGTCCTTCTGCTTATATATCATCCAAGAAAGTGTGTTGTAAAGAGGAAGCAATCACATCTACTGAGACTGAGCCATTATTGAGTACCCATGTCTGACGCCCAGAAGCGGTGCAACAAGACGTTGACATGCTTTTTGATGATGCTCAGCGTTGATCGTTTGACCGCAGCCCGGGCGGGTCCTTACCGAAGGTTTTTAGACGAAGAGTGGCAGATGAGATCTCGAGTTTACATGCGCGGGGAGTCCGTGTCCAGGCGGGCTCGGTGCTCAGCAGAGTAAGAGTATGTATAGCATCATGAAGACGGAATTGGTTACGGAATCATCTGATTCAAATCGTCCGACAAGTTATCTCTATGCAGGCAGATCGCCAAGCCTCTGTTCTCGTTGAGATCGCATTTCAGCAGAGAATAAACCGCTCAGTAGTCACGTCATCCAACATTTCCTACCCCCTTGGCTTAATAGAACCACCTAAACTCAGGTACAGCTGGCCCATCCTTCAGTTTTTCCGTAGGGATGTCTCTGACATTCAGCTTCACACCCTGCTGGCGATCTCTCCGCTTGTTATCAATCATCATCCATGCACCGAGGATCAAGGTGAGCGCGAAACCTGTTCCGCCAAACGCCGCAGTAGTTGCGAGAGCCGGAATATAGTCAGGTGCATCTTGGGGCCGGAAGATATTGGAGCTGACGACGCCCATGAGGTTGGCCACGGGGACGCCGATAGAGGTGAGGATGACGCGACGGCCTTCATGAGCGATGTTGTTGTTGTACCAGACGTCTAGGAGCACAGAAGGTGCGGATGTGCCCCTGATGATGTCAGATATCTACTACGATTATTCTCGAAGGGTATTTGGGCTTACCATGTCATCATGAAAGCGGCGAAGTAAGCAGCTTGGTGCTGGGTCAACACATCAATGCCCGCATAGATGCAGAAACCGATGAATGTGAACAAGAAGCCAGCAGCTATGTACGGGAAACGCCAACGGGTCCAGTCACTCAGGAAGGCCAGTATCAACAGCATGATCGCACCAGATATGTTCGGCGCGACTGTATACAGGTTGGTCTTGACAGTGCCGTAGCCCAGCCGGCCGATCATTGGCGGAAGGAAGAGTTGCACAGATTGAAGAGGCACGCCCAAGCAAATCTCGATCGCGAGGATCATCCAGCTTGTCGGGTGCTTGAGGATTTGGAAGGAGTCACCCCATTTGAACTTCTCGTTGACAACCGAAGAACTGTCGATTTGCATACGGTAGAAGGCGAGCTTCTTCTCCTCTTCGCTCAGGAACCTGGCTCTTGAGGCCGAATGCGGGAGATACCAGAAGGCGAAGAAGGAGAACAGGATGGTGGCACTGCCTTCGATGATGAAGAGGTAACGCCAATTTTGGAGAGGTCCGCCCTCGATCTGGAAGGTGCCGTAGGCGAGAAGCCCTCCGAAAGCAGAGGCGATACTCTGTGCCGCATAGAAGATGGCCAGCCGTCTAGCAAGTTCACCGCGACGGTAAAATCTGCGCATGTGTTAGGAAGTGCGGAGAAGCCTCCTGGGTGATCACCTACGTTGTCTGATAATATATTACTAATGGGAAGAAGGCCGATTCTGCCATTCCCAGAAACCACCGCAGAGTCATCAACCCGGCAAAGTTCTGCACAGCGACAACGAGCAGCGTCATGCATCCAAAGCTGAACATCATGATAGGTAGGACACGGTTCGGTCCGTACTTCTTTCCCAAAATACCAAGGAACGGAGCAGTGAGCACATATGGAATGAAGAAGACACTAAGGATGGTGTTGTACTGGTTGCCAACTAGGCCCAGGTCTCTCTCGAGGCCAGCCGTCTTTGCGTTGCCCAGGTTCGACTTGTCGAGGCTGTTAAAGAGGTACATAATGGCCAGAACAGGCAAAATGCGGAGATCGAACTTCCAGACGAGACGCTTCTCATCTTCGAGATTGATGACCATTGTCTCTCCGACATGGCTGTTAATGATTTTGTTGCCAGCCTCGTCGACTTGGACGGAACGAATGGAATTGGATTCCTTAGGAGGCAGCTCCTTTGCCAGATCGGAGACGTCAGACATGTCGGTTAGAATCTCAGAATGCTTGGCTGAACAAAACGACAACAGGATGTAACACTGTTCGGAGGCGATGGAGTGACAACAAGCCTTGATGGATAGTAATGAATCTGCGACTGATGATCATCATGTATATACTTGGTCGTGTGCCATCCTGTTCATGAGCTGCCCCAGCGACTCACTTTTTGCTCTCGTCCCAAACCCTGTCATCGTGGCTCGCCGAAAATACGAATTGACCAATGCCTACCCATTGCCTTGCAGATCACTCTTATCAGCGATATCAATGTCGAGGCTTGATCCCGAGCAGAGTGCTTCTTTCTGCCGTCACGGTGCGCCGGCAAGGCGCGAGTGTTGCTGCAGCAGGGAAGAGCTTTGCGAGATGAAGCTCTGTGACTCTGCTGGACCGATGAGTGAGCTGAGGAGGTTGCTCCTTAGCCTCTTCGGACCGCGCTAGTGACCGGTGGGTTTCCGACCGTTTTTGCAATCCCTGCCAGCCCGAGATAAGACAAAAGTCACTCGTACGCGTACCGAGTATCGTACCCCTACGTACTTCGCCTTTAAACCACCTCTCCCGGATGACAACCACACTGAATATTTCATTTGAGATAGCAACACTTGATGATGTCGACTACGCTTTCCGCATTCGAGAGATAACCGTTTTTGAATCTGAAGGTCAAAAATCCTGACGCTGAGACAAGCATTACGGGCCGCAGCGGGTTTTCCGGCACTGCTTCTGAAGGCGTTTGTCCTCCCAACGTTCGGCGAGTACCTGGTCTTACGGCATCGTTATTGTGGCCCAACCTCGTATCTTCGAGTGTTGATAAAGGTCTCCAAGCTGACAGAACTGAACACATGCTAGGAATGCGGCTTGAGACAAGGTGTATTGCTGAGAAGACTGACGAAGCTGTGCTCTACGAGCGCCCGTGTCGGGCAGATTTGCAATTCCATGACAACAAGGACTGGCCGAGTTAGGAGTTAGGCTCCGTCCGCATTGCCTGCCGATCCATACCCCATCCGCTTTCTCGGACCGATTTGCACAACACAACAGATCATAGTCACCGCTGCATCGAGTTTTCATTCTGTAGGTGCTAGGAAGCCATTGGACGACCGCCCATACCAGAGGCATTACGTCTGATACTGACGCAAGAACTAATGGGGTTACCTCCGGCACGACTACGAAGACTCAGCTCGGACAAGAGAGCTAGTGAGCCTGGTAGAGCATGTACTGTTAATGCACTGATGAGACATTTCATCTGCGGAAGCCTCCGTGGAAGAACAGACGATGTTTTTTCCACACTTGAGGTGTAGGATACTGTTGGAAGCGTACCGGCGGCGGCAATGGAACAGGAAGGTAGACAGCAGGCAGCTAATCTCGTGCAGTGCAAGCTGATGACAGCGCGCGGACAGGAACTGCGGAACAAAAGCGAGACGACAGAGGGCGACTCAAGGACGCAGATGCGATAGGTAGTGAGGTGTGTGAAATTCTTCTTGTCTACCGGTTGCCCTCACCAACTTGCATTACCAGTTGCTTCGCCATCCCATCGAAGATTGGATACAACGAGCAGCTATTATACTTCTGCACCAGCGACTCCTCATTCCCATGCGCTTCCTCAGTGACGGGTTTCGTGTCCAGCTCCCTTCCCATAACAGACGTTCCTTCTGGATAAGACGGTCTCACGCCCTCTTCAATTAGCATCACGAACGCCGGATCCACAGGCACGCTGCCGAGGAACGGGACACCAAAATCCAGCGCCATAACCTCTCCACCACCTTTGCTGAAGACGTTGCTGCACGTGGAGCAGTTCGGACACACAAAGCCTGCCATATTTTCTACCACACCCAACACCTTCAAACCCGTCTTCTTGCAGAAGTTGAGCTCCTTCTTCACATCAGATATCGCTATAGCCTGCGGTGTGGTGACAACGACTGCCCCAGCGAGCTGCGATGGCCTGTCCGCGGTGTCCTTGAGCAGCGTCTCGAGTAATGATATATGCTCGTCGGATGTGCCTGGTGGTGTGTCGATAAGAAGGTAGTCGAGCGCTGGCCACTGGACTGATGACAGGAACTGCCGCACCATGGCCGTTTTCTTAGGACCGCGCCAGATCACGGCGTCGGAACGAGAAGGCAGTATGAAGCCAAGGGACATGCATGAAAGAGGTCCTATGCTTGCGTTCTCCCGTATGCTATCGGAGGAGCCGCTGGTTTCTTTCGACTGGGTAGGATATGGCTGCGAATCGTGAACGGGTACGGGCAGCCAGCCGCCGGGTGCTTGTGTCACCTTTGCAGACTCAACGCCGAAGAAGCGTGGTATCGAAGGACCGGTCAGATCTACGTCCAGTACACCCACAGAGTGGCCTTGGAGCGAGAGGGTCAGGGCGAGTTGAGTGGTTATGCTGGATTTGCCGACGCCGCCTTTGCCGGAAAGGATGAGGATGATGCGGTTGGCGTTATCTAAACCCATGGCAGGAAATTTCTCAGCCGGGCTCGAATATCGAACTGGCGACGCTGTCGAGTATGTTACTGGTGGGTTCGTCGCACTTCATGTTCTGGTGGTGGCAGACAGGAAGTTTAGCAGAAGGCCTGAGGATTTCAAATCGGCGAAGCGGCGGCTGAACCCGCGCCAAGGCATTGCGCCACGCTTACTTAATCCAGATGCTTTCAACTTACCTAGGTATCCGGCATCTTAATTTTTTAAGGTAGCTTACTTCCGTACAAGACATGGGAGGTCTCCTTTAAAACAGTTGAGTTATAGCGAAGCTAGAATGTTTAACTCTGATAGCGATCGAGTTTGGATCCTCCTACAGCGAGCTCTCATCCCTGCGTAAGGACCGGAGGATGAGCAGGAAATCAAACTCGTAGCATCCATGTCACGGTGACTCTTGTAGCTGACGCATGATGAGTCAAGAATGAGCTCCAAGCAGCGACCTGCCCTCCTGCCTCTCGGTTCTGTCTTTGACCCACCACCATCTACATCTCCTCTCTGATTCGTTGACGTCAACCAGACTATTACCACTCTCTTTCCTGAACCAATCTCCCCACTTCCTGTTTTCGACCCACACGCCTCCTCGCCTCTTTCGCAACCCTTCAGCATCCTCATACTCTTTCACTTCCCAACCGCCTCTCACCCCCTTCCACGCTGCCGATATTTCTACAAGGATCTTCCAGAACCCCCACATAAGGACAAGAGCCACGATAGTGATGAAGACAGTAGCGACAACGGAGAGGAAGTTGCGTGTGGAGACGTTACATCCCAGGCCTGAAGTGCGAAGTTCCCAGCGCTCGGAGCCGTCTCGGCCGGAGAGGGGGCAGATGTCTGGATGGCTCATTGGTGTAAGGAGGGGAGGCAGGTGAGAATTCGGGAGCGGGAGGCAGAGTGACGACTATGAATAATGCGGGAGGTGATCAGCTTGTGACAGGCGGGGGCTTGGCGAATGTTGCGAGCCATCATGACTAGACTGGCCGTGTGGAGACATGAACACAGCTGTGATAAAAGGAAACAGGGTCTTTGATGGGTAACTATGTGACCCCACGACTACTGTAGTAGCATATAGAAGATTAGGATAGTTCCGTGTGCCTATAGCGGATGGTGTCGCGCGTCCCATCATGCACAAGATTGTTTGTACGACAATCTCTCCTTCACTGTCGCACTATCTCCTAATCACCACCCATGTACAGACCCCCCCTGGCTAGGTAGTAGCCGGTAGTTGACATAAAAACATATGCACGTAGATGTTGAGATCGTTGTTGAAATTGGACTCGCAATCCGTAAATGTCAAAATTTTGGCCTTACATATGGACACCATCCACAATGGTATTTGCTTTCAACACATGAGTCGCATCGCGATGTGCTCCAGCATTGATAAAGCCGGTCCCTCTCAGATGGTGAGGCGGCCGCGGCAGCAAGGCTTGACATGTAAGCGGAGGTCTCCAGGTGCACAGATGCCTTGATTGAAGCAGGATATTCCGGACAAACAAGCCAAAGCACGGCCAAAGAGTCTGTTGCTCCTAGAGTTAGGTATAACTATAAATTAACGTTACAGCAACCCAACGCAAGACTCCGAGCCAACGGCATCTAAGGTCACATGACATTGTTCTAGTGACCTCGGCAAATCACCTGCATGGGGCTCTCAGCTTTCCCCGGATTACCATATCCGCAGCCACCCCACTACCCATAGGCCTAAGTACGGTAGAGCTTCTATATTACCATGTACATAGCCTTTAGTATACACCCAAGTCGACTTCCATCCTTTCTCACCTGATCCCGTTTTGACTCGCAATGACGTCCTTACCTCCCTTGACTGGCATCCGGGTTCTCGAGTTCGCCGGGTTAGCTCCAGGTAACCCACCCTCGTGCTCTGCAAGTCTCACCCTCTATACAACGAGCTTCCCGCACGCGTCTACTCATGAATAACTACCTGACGACCCTCCGCATCAGGGCCCTTTGCCGGCCTCCTGCTAGCCGACTACGGCGCCACCGTCCTCCGCATCGACCGCTCTCATCCCTCCGCCCACGGCCCACACCCTCCCCCTCCTACAGCCGACGTCCTCACTCGCCGCAAGAGCAGCATAGCCATTGACCTCAAGTCCCCCTCTGGCATCGCCCTCATAAAGTCCCTGATACCCAGCGTCGATGTAGTCATCGACCCATTCCGGCCTGGCGTCCTCGAAAAGCTCGGCCTCTGCCCCTCGTCCGTTCTGCTGAAGCTGAATCCGCGCCTCGTTGTCGGGCGCATGACGGGATTCCGCCGAGATGGGAAGTACGCACAGATGGCGGGACATGATATAAATTATATCGCGGTCTCGGGTGTGCTATCGCTGTTGGGTAGGAAAGGGGAGAAGCCGTATGCGCCGGGAAACATTATCGGTGACTTTGCCGGCGGAGGAGCAATGTGCTTTTTGGGGATTTTGCTGGCACTGCTGGGAAGGAACACGTCTGGGAGGGGACAGGTCGTCGAGGCGAATATGGTGGATGGGAGCAGCTATCTGGCAACAATGCCGAGGTTGAGTTTGAAGAGGCCGATATGGGAGAAGGAGAGAGGAGAAAACATGTTGGACGGTGGTAGTCCTTTCTACGATACCTATGAGACAGAGGACGGAAAATACATGGCCGTGTAAGTCGGACCTACGGCAAATGAGGGGTACCCGCACTGACACAATACAGTGGTGCACTGGAGCCGCACTTCTTCGCGTTCTTACTGAAAGGTCTCGGGTTGTCTGAAGCTGACCTCCCGGGATCACGCGATGATCGCAGTACTTGGCCAGCTCTCCGTGAGCTCTTCGGGAGAAGATTCAAGACGAAGACGCGCTCTCAGTGGGAACAGATCTTTGATGGCACGGATGCATGTTGTACACCGGTCTTGACGAATGACGAGCTGGAAAAGAGCGGCTTCGATCAGCGGCCGGCGACGACGCTGAAAGATTCGCCGGGATTCGCGATTGGTGGTCGTGCGACCACGGCCGCCCAAGGACAGGGCATTGGTGTTGATGGGGAAGGGTGGATGGAGAGGGGCCTGAGTCCGGGAGTGGGTGGAGAGGAGTTGCTGGGACGGTGGATGGGATGGAGAAGGGGCAGCCAGTACGATGTTGAAAACGGTGGGCTCATCTTACGTGACGTGACAAGATCGAAGTTATGAGCGTCAGCGCTGGGAGGTTTGAGAGAAACATTTCGTCGTGCATGCGATGATGATGTCGGCGGAGCGCCCCAGCAGGATTTCTTCCTATGCACCTGTACCGCTGCCTTTTGCATACTGGGAGGAATGAAGCGGAACTACGTTATCTTCTGCGTTAAAGAGGAAACGGCAGCCACCTGAGGTTGTTACTCGGTGCTATCGACGTTACCATCCACCTGAGAGTAGTCCGAACCGTGCCCTCAGTCACGTTGACACCTCTGAGCTCTTAATCATACATCTCCCGATTTCAACAGCGTTAGATGGCCATTAAGCCATGCCTTCGAAACTCCCATCCTCGTCTACGTTGCTCATGGCATCTGCCGAGAACGACGCTATCCAACTTCTGGCAGGTCGACCACCGCTTGTGGCTCGGAACCAGGATGACGGCGGAGGTGGAGTCCTTTTGATCTGCCGCACAACTGCCGCTCTCCCGATTGAGAGTCTTTGGTCCCATAGCATCATGTGAAGACCTACGAGTGAAAGCTATAAGTACTCGGGTAGAGCCCAGGCCCTCGCCAAAGCCCCAGTCACGTCGTCAGTGTTCAGCATGGTACTGCCAACAGGAGTTTACAGAGCTGACCATGTCGGGTCTTGGCTACGCCCACGGGAGGTCCTCGACGCGCGCAGTCGAGTAGCACAGAAAGAAATGTCCGAGGAAGAGCTTCGAAAGTTCGAAGACAAGCACATCGAAAACGTCGTTCAGAAGCAGATCGCTGCTGGGTTGCGCTCCATAACAGATGGAGAATTTCGCCGAGCTTACTTCCACCTGGATTTTCTCAAGCAACTCGACGGGGTGGAGGTGAAGGGGTCCATCAAGCCTACAGGCGAGATTAAGGATGGATGGGCGCCGCCGGTTCTGAGCGTCACGGGAAAGCTGGGACACTCTAAACCCGTGCAAGTGGACGACTTCAAGTTTCTCGAGGCCGCGATAGCCAGGAACAACGCTGCCGGAGTCACAACAAAAGTCGCTATCCCTTCGCCGACAATGGTTCATTTCCGCGGTGGCCGCGCCTCCATCGACATCGCATCTTATCCCGATCTCGACGCCTTCTTCGACGACTTGGCCAAAGTCTACCAGCAGGAGCTGGACGATCTCTGTAAAGCCGGCTGCCGCTTCGTCCAATTAGACGACACGAACCTTGCCTATCTCTGCGACCCCGAAATGCGCAAAGCTGCCGCCTCCCGCTCGGAAGATCTCACCACCCTCCCAAAGCGCTACGCCGAGCTAATCAACGCCGCCATTTCCAAGCGGCCCAAGGACATGACTATCGCCATCCATCTCTGCCGCGGGAACTATCGCTCGCAGTGGTTTGCTAGCGGCGGCTATGAGCCAGTGGCGGAGGTGCTCTTCAAGGATCTCAACGTCGACGCTTATTTCCTAGAGTACGACGACGCACGTAGCGGGGACTTTGGTCCGCTTAAGCACTTGCCGGAGCACAAAGTCGTGGTATTAGGACTGATGTCTTCGAAGCACAGCACGCTAGATGACCGTGATACTATTGTGAAAAGGCTACATGAAGCCGCTTCTGTTTGTCCAACGGGCTTGGAGCAGTTGTGCTTAAGCCATCAGTGTGGGTTCAGCTCGACGATGGAGGGAAATCAGTTGACGGAGGAGGAGCAGTGGGCGAAGATTAGATTCGAGGTAGAAATTGCGAAGAGTGTTTGGGGCGAGGATTTGGCAGCGTAGAATCGAGGGCTAGTATTCAAAATAAGACACGGACGCCTGTATATATTAACTCAAAATTACAATCGGTGTAATTACTTGAAAGGAATACTATAATATCTAAAATCTATTACGGTTTGCTTGTATCTTATAGCATATAAGACTCGATCTACTAATTTAATATTAGATCTTTTAGCCTAATAGCGCAAGCGTGAAATCTCTCTATATATATACTAATATATTATAAGAATGCAATTTGACTCTAGTATATATTTTAATTTATTGCTTTTAGTTTCAATAGAAAACTTACTATATATTAGATAATATCTTAGAAATAGAATCTTAATAGCTCCCTTAAGTATTTAATTAAGTATTTTATCTATTTACAAATTACTTATAGAGTTTTTAAAAGCTATTTATAGTTATTTGTTATATTAGTAAAATACTAAGTTACTTAATTAGCTATCTAGTAGAAAGCTTCTATATATAGTATTGTTTTATTATATACTAATCTACTATATTTCTATTATAGGAAATTCTAAGCGTTTAGAGTAATTTATATTACTTAGTAATTAAGGGAAAAACTATAAGAAAGTGTTTTAAATAAGAGATATAATATAAAATCTACTAAGTAGTAATTAATACTACTAGTAGAAGCTATAAATACAACTAAGTACTAATAAGTACTAATAAATACCTTATATTATTAATATAATTAGATACTAAGTGGACTAAGTAGACTAAATATATATATTATACGTAATAATAGTCTTCCCGCGAAATCTATACTTTATTAACTATTATCTACACTACCACCTATATTAGGCTGTAAGAAGTATAGAAGAGCTATTTAATTAAACCACTATATATCTTCTATCTTTATAAGAATTTTGTTATTTTATTAAAAGGGAGCGTAGTAATAGTAAAACGATATATAGTTAGATAAATACAAGTTTTATAGCGAGATTTCTATAGTAAGAGTATTATTACGCACGACGTAATATAGTATAGAAGTACTAGCCTAGAGCTCTAGCCTAGAGCTCTAGTATATAGACTATATATACTATTCTTACTCTAGAAACTAGTACAATTAACTTAAATAAAAGTTCTATACTCTTTATAATTTACATAATAATAACTCTATAATATATAATTAGATCTTATTATAAGATAATACGAATTACTATAAAGATCAGATTCTATATTAAGAAGATAGAGAATATATCTAAAATAGAACTATAAGATAAGAGTTAATATTATAAAGTAATAATTATAAACTTATAAATATTACAAAATATTATTTAAGCTAAGTATACTACTTTAACAAATAAGAAAAGTATTATATATATATTCAAGGCTAGTGTTACGTATATATTTAACCATAATTTCTTTATTATATATCTACTTAGTAGAACTATAGATTTCATTATATAATATCTCTATTATAGCTTTTCTATAGCGGAATTATTAGTTTTTAGTATCTATTCTCTCTTTTTAAGCCTAAGCTTTACTCTAGAGGTTTATTTTATAGTACTTCTCTCTTTTCTATCTCTTTAACTCTAATATTATACTCTATACTAAAAAGTTTAAGTTCTATTACTATTATCTATTTCTTCTAGCTCTTATTATTACTAATAATTTTAAAATATCTACTTAATTTTTTATTATTATTAGTTTAGAGTGTAATATAAGAACGATCTAAGCTTATACTATCACGCTAAATATATTACTAAGAGTTATAAAGAAAATTATAGTAATAAAGAAGGAGTATATATTTCTATTTTCTTTTTTTACTATAATTATCTTAAACTTTTCTTAGTTAAGACTTAAGTTAGTAATTATAGCTAGCTTTATCTAGAAATATTTAAAGCTTAATAAATAGTCTCTACTATCTTATTATAATAGATCTATCTTATAAAATAGATATTTTTCTATAGACTTATTATAATTAGATAGTAGTCTAGAAGCGAGCTTCTGTTAAAGAGATAGAGTATCTATAGTAGAAATAGAAGAATTTTAGTAGTAATCTCTCTATATTTAATCTATTTTTCTTATCTAAAACTCTAAGTACTAGTCTCTCTTTTTCTTTGAAAATAGAACAAGATATTGTAAATAGCTTTACTTCTAATACTATATGATAGTATCTATATACTAAGACTCTAAGCTATTTACTAAGTATTTTCTAAATCTATATAGTTTTTCTATTCTATAAAGTATTACTAAGTACTTTTACTAAGCTTAGTAGTATTATATAAAATTTATTATACTCTATATTACTTACTTTATTCTATTAAATAGTTATCTTATATCTTTACTAATACTAGCCCTTCTATAAGATCTAGTTTTAGTAGTAAAATATAGAATACTAGATATATTTCTATTCTCTTTAGTAGATTTAGCCTATAGCTTATGCTCTTCATAGTTTTATTATTCTTTAAAGACTCTATTCTAATATAGTCTAAATTCTAATATAGTTTTACTATCTAACTATTTTTTTTAGAAAAGATAAACTTTCTTTCTTTCTTAAATATAAGCTATCTAGATTTATATTTTTTATAGAGAAATATTAGATACTAAACTAAGAGCTTAATAATGTATTATAGTTTTCAATAAATCTTATTAATACATAATAGTTAAAAGGCTTAATTACTATCTAAAATAGGAAACCTATATAAAGATATAATTGAATTTTCTAGAACTTACTACTTTATTAGTAATCTATATTTTAAATCCAATATATTTAAATTCTTCTAAAGCCTTATAGCTTCTTCTAGATCCTAATAGAACCCTAAGTAGTAAACTTAATTATTAATTAACTAGTTTCACTAGTTAGTATCTAAGGCTAAGAATTAATACTATATAGTCTTATAGCCTTATAGCCTTATAGCCTAAGTAAGCTATAGAATTTTTTAGATTAACTTCTAAATCTTTCTTTCAAGTTCTATAGCTCTTAAATAAACTATTATATAATAGCTATTTTAGTTAATTCAACTTATCTATTATAGTAGTAAAGATAATATTATGACTCTACTAATTCCATTAGTCTAATTTAGTCGGAAATTTTATCTAAGGGAAGCTAGCTTGAGTAAGCACTTGAATAAATTCTTTACTATAATAGAATAGTAAATTCAACTAGTGTGATAGGTAATATCTCTAGATAATAATACCTACTACTATAAAGTGGTATAATTCTAATTAAGAAGTTAGAGAACAGAGTAAAATATAATAATAGATTGATATTACTAGGTGGTAATTAGTAAATTATAAGAATAAAAGATCCTTATATTAAGTTGAGTATACTATTCTAAAGAATGTAAATAGTACTACTTATATACTATAGCTCTAAGTAAGTATTACACTATACTTAGTCTACTTAGTATACTTAATTACTAAGTATAGTAAGTAGACTAATTACCTCTTAGTGGTACCCTAGTACTTAGTTCTCTTATAACTATTTAGTACTAAGTACTTACTTAGTAGTACGCTACACCTCTATTTATAATAACTAGCTTAATATTATATTATTATATAAAGATAATTCTCGGAAACTAGTAAAGAATCTATTAGACTTACTTTTACTAAATAATTCTAGTTTAGTAAGCCTAGAATAAGCTTTCTCTTAAGAGCCTAAGTCTTAGTAGTTATATCTATCTAATAATCTATATTCTTTCTTAAACTTTAGCTAGTTATACTATTTTAGTTAATTAAATTACTCTAGCTACTCTTTTTACTCTACTTCTAGCTAGATAGACTAGTAATTCTATATTTAAAACTCTAGCTAGTTATTCTAATTTACTTAGCTATACTATTTTAACTACTCTTTTAATTAGATATAACTCTTTTTTAGCTAATATTAGTTAAGCTAGTTACTAATTCTTTATAGTCTATCTTACTTATTTAAATCTTTTTACTTACTAAGAAAAACTAGATACGCTCTAAGAGCTCTAAGAGAACTTAAAGTATATAAAGCGCTTAGAATACTCGCAAGCTACTCCCAAGCTACTTATAAATAGACTACTTTATTTAGAGCTTTCTAAGCGCTCTAAGCACTCTAAGAGCTTTAAATATCTAAGTTATTTAAATTATCTTAGCTAAAGATAATAAGCTCCACTTAGTAACTAGCTTAGTAGGTGAATTTTTTGGAGTTCCTATTTTCGTTTAACTCTTACTCCGTAGAAAAAAGACATATAATATCTATAAATTTGAAAAGTAAGCGGATAATAACTATTTCTAATAAAAGTTTACTCTCTAAACTAGCTCTATTATATATTCTCTTTATTCTACTATCTGAGTTAGACGTGAAGCTTTTTTAGTCTTTTTACTTTTAGCTATCTACTAAGTATACTAAGCTCTACTAAGCTATACCTCTAGATATTTTAGATTTTTTATTTATTTTATCTTTTTTATGCATCTAATGTATTTAATGTTTTTTATGCACTTTATACATTTTATATAATCTACAAGTTTCATATATTTTACCACTTCTATACATTTTACGTCTTTATATACTCTATTATAACGCGCTGCTATCTCTAGATAACAATAGCGATACTATAGAGGTATAGTATAATACTAATTAAGGTATTAGGGGATAGAGTAAGATATAATAATAATAGATTAATATTATAAGATGATAATTAGATTTTTTTATAAGGATATAAGATTCTAATATTAAGTTAAGTATAAGGTTTTTATAAGAAAAACTTTTACTACCTATATACTAGAACTCTCTACTTCGAAGAAGAATAGAATAATACTCTAAGCGTAAATAATTAATATCTATAATATTTATAGTATCTATAGCATCCCTAATAATAGATAGTATATAAGTAAACGCTTAGTATTATTTTTATTATCTAAGGCTTAGCCTAGCCTCTCTAAGGCTCTACTAGTCTCGCATCGAGCTATTCGTAATATTTATATATATCTTATATTTTATCTATTTTTTTTATTTTATAACTCTTATAACTTTTAAGTCTTAAGTAAAATTCACGTATTTTGCATATCTTAAATATCTTATATAT